TTCCCTAAAGCCTATATCATTGATTATATGGATGACATCCTCATGGCTGCTGTGACTAGTCAAGAGCTGGATACATTTTTCCAACAGGTTCAACAATATTTGTCCTTTGCAGTCTTGCAAATTGCACCAGGTAAGACTCAGAATCGGTCCCCCATCTCTATTTAGGTACAAAAATTAAGGACAATACAACTATGCCATGAGAAGTACAAATTAGAAGAAAAATTAAAAACAGGCCCTCCCTGGTGGTGCAGCAGGTTAAAGCACAGCACCAAGAAGTTAAAGCCACTTCAGTGAGAGTTTAACCCCTGCCCCGGAGGTGACCCACATGGCGTGGCAGACCTCTCCTGACCCGCCTACTGCCCCCTCAGCAGTGTACTTCTCAATCTACCTATTCTGCTCCCCACTCTGTCTCTGGTGAATCCTCTCACTGCCCCTGCACCTCTGGCCTGTACCCCAGGTCTGTGTGCACAAATAAATAAATCTTTAAAGAACGAAATTAAAACACTAAATGACTTTCAAAAACTGCTTGGAATGTTAATTGGCTTCACCCTTCACCAGGCGTTCCTACACAAGCATTAATCCATTTATTTGACACTCTAAAAGGATATCCAGCCTTACACAAACCTCAAGGTAATAAAGAAACTTGAATAGGTACAGGAGCATATTCATAAAGCTCAATTACAGCACGGTCTTGCTGATTCTGCTATGGATCTCTTAATATTCTCTACTAAACATTCTCCTACAGGACTGCTAATCCAAGGCAAAGGATAGATTAAATGGATTTTTCTGCCAACACACACTAACCAATTATTAACTCATTTGGCAAGATTAGACGTGTTATGTTAAAAGGGCACAGATGCCTTCAGACTGTTGGGTTGAGACCCTGACCACATTGTTTTGCCCTTATCAAGAAAACTGATACTGCCCTCAGTGAAAGTCTCCGTTGAAAAACTGGTCTCCCTAATTATCTGGGGATCTTGAATTGTCATTATCCTTCCAAATTGTTTCATTTCCTTAATCCACTTCGTGGATTTTATCATAACAACAAAAAAATTCTGTCATTCCTCTTCCAGATATAGTTACATATTTTACAGTCAGCAGTAGTAGTGATCAGTGCAGCCTATTGGGGACCCACACCACAGGTGGCCCATTCCCCTTATTGCTCAGCTCAACAGGTCACATTGTATGCCATCTGGACGCTCTTAACCGATAAATCTCAAACTCTTAACACTGTCACTGATTCTTAGTATGTTAGTCATGTTCTTCCTGTTCTAAAAATTGTACACATTTGTGCACAAGAATCTGCTATTAATTCCTTTTTGTTAGACATCCAGACATTTCTACATTGTCACACTACACAAATTTACATAACTCACATTATATCTCATTCTCTCCTGCCAGGTCTATTAGCACATGATAACACCCTAGAAAAATCATTTGGTTGGTTCTGTACTGCAAGTGCTCAACACTGGCATCAGTTTACTCATGTTAATGCCAGAGTGCTTCGAAAAAAATTTTCATTGACCAAGTCACAAACAAAGTTCATTGTCCAATAGAGTGCATCTTGATCTCCCTTAGTGACTCCCCCATTTCATTCTGGCATACATACTTGAGGCCTCTGATCCAATGAATTATGGCAGCTATATGTAATTCACATCCCAGCTTTTGGTAGATTCGCTCCTTATGTTCATATCTGTCACTGGTGAATCCTCTCACCGCTGCTGCACCTCTGGTCTATACCCCAGTTCTGTATGCATGGATAAATAAATATTTTTTATAAATATTTGTGCATACCAGTTAGATTATTCTGTTTTAATGCATACCTTGGGTACATTAAATCTTAGATGGATTTTTTTTCCTTTTATTGTTTTGGGGTCTATGGGCACCTTTTGATATTTCCCTGTATCAATTTTGTTTCCCTGAGTTTTTGCCCCATATCAATTTGAGTGTTCTGAAATCTAAGCGGCTCTTCTCTATTTTTTTTTTCCCTCCTGGATGGGGGAATTAGGGTCAAGTCAGACAGGAGATGGTGCTCCCCCCATTCCCCTTAATCCTGGCATTGCTGAGGAGCAACGACTTCCTTTCCAGTCTCCCAGATCCACCCAGATGTCAAACTGAATAAGAATAGCAGAGAGAGAGAAAAAAAAAAAGAATGGCAGAGGAGGAGGGAGATGTGGATGAGGAGGATTTCTTCTTGGCATTTGCCCGGAGCCCCTCTCTTCTCAGGGCCCCCCTGTGTGGGATCTTAGAAAAGGCTTTCTTTACCCTTGCTCATTTTCCTCAACATTACTGATGTTGGAAGCTGTATACAGGCTGCTGTGGCTGCTTCCATTGGCAAAATTTTGGGACTGGCTCCTAGGGACACCTCAGAAGGAGGAGGAGTTGGAATTGTGACCACCTCTCCTATAAATATCCCATTTCCCTGCCACAGAGTGGAAGAGGAGAGACGGGAAGGAAATGGGAGTGCTGAAGACACTGTTCAGGGACATATGAGTAGCTTAAAACAGTTGCCTTAAAATTTCTTTGCCTGGAAATAATTTTGAAAAGTTTTTAATAGGAGGGCGGGCTGGAGGTTCTGGACTCTGAGGGATGGGGATGTCTCCGTGGTTCTAGAAAGTGTCACATAAACATCTAAAAAAGCTTAAAATTATTTCAAGGATATAATTCTGACATAGTGAACATATCAATACTTAAAACAGCTAAATACACTCTTTTGACTCTGCAGGGGTATTGAAATATCACTACCATCAATTCAAAAATACCTAAGTAAAATCTTGACATTTAGGGATCATTCTTTTTCTTCTTTCATCATTTTTTCCCTCATTTCCCACTGATTGACAATTTTATGACTTTCTACTTGACTCTTCTTGACCAATCTATCATACTTTTCTGTAAATACATGTACATTGAGATGAAAGATATTTTCTTTTCATCTCTTAAGACTCTGCTTAATTTTTTCCTGAGCTACTATTATAATTTTTATAATACCAGAGCTAATCAAATAACATAAAGTCTACACTTTTTTTCAAAGATTTATTTATTTATGCATACAAGAACTGAGATATAGGCCAGAGGTGTGGAAGGTGAGAGGCTTCACCAGAGACAGAGTGAGGAGCAGAACAGTCAGATCCACTGAAATATACTGCTGAGGGGAGCAGTAGACAGGAGAGATCTGCTGTGCCATGTGGGTCAGCTCCCTGGCCAGGGATCCAACTGATACTGCAAGACTGTGGATAGCTTGATAGCACTGAGATTGGCCCATTATACACATTTTTACAATTGTTTAAAAATAAAGGTACATCTTAAATGAGATAGATGAGGAAGTTTATGATAACTTAAAGAAAGAAATGTCTCCTTATTCAAGAAAAAGGTAAGATTATCCCGAAGAGATTTCATAACATAGAACTGTTTTTGTTTTTGTTTTGTTAATGAGAAATTCTACTTCAAAAGGATGAGGGGGAACCTCTACTGTGGGCATTTACTCAGGCAGGCCAATTTGGGGAACGTTGATCAACTGGAAATTAAATCCCTTATGTTTCCCAAGTCTGAGTATTTGGAAGGTCTTCGTGTTCCCCATTTGAAGACTGCAGGCTTAGACGAATGGGGAGAAATGGTGTGGCGTTTTTTGATAGGAGGGTGGGCTGCAGGTTCTGGGACTCTGAGGGATGGGGATGTCTCTGTGGTTCTAGAAAGTGTCAAGATGCTGTCCACTTGTAGAGTGCACAAGTATGCAGAAGGTGGGAACTATGTGTTCTGTTTCCTCTTTGGAAAGCTCATCTTTGGAAACAGCCTCACCTCCACGAGTCCCTCCGACCGCCCTAAAGCTGGACGCAGTGGGAGTGCAGGAGAGGCGGACATCACTGTCGGTTTCTTCGCCCTTCCTTCTTTTCTCAGCTCTCCCAGAGGAAGAGGAGACGCGACCCTCGAGATCTTTTATGAGTCTCATTTCATCTCAGCCCTCACAGCGGCAAGTGGACAAGATTCTCCTCAAAGAACCCCCCGCCGCAGCCCCCCCGCCCCCCTCGTTCTATACAGTCTGTCGTCCGGCCCTAATGCCCCGGCTTGCGCAACACCACCGGCGCCTCGGGACTCGCTCCAGAAAGCGACGGAGAACCACTTAGGTCCCATCCGTTTGGCTGGTCATTAGTTCTGTGATGGAGCTTGAAAAGTAAATCGAGAACAAGAGCAATAATAAAAGCAGCATTATTTGCCTAGCGCCGGGTGCTCATTTGTATGCGTGTGTCGTGATTCTGTAACAGGGAGATGCAGACACCTAGACGCAGAAGCAGCTGCTGGACAGCGGCACGGGCGGCAGCGCGCCGCATTGGAAAGGAAGGGGCAGGCGCAGTCGAAGAAGCCGTGGAAATGGGTACCTGGCAGGTAGGACAGCAGAGCCGGAAGACTTGACTAATGGCCCAGCGGAAGGAAAAGGTTTTCTTTCTCTCTTCAGAGACTTCCGCTCTTCGGTGAACCCATGAGCAGGCTTGCAGGGTTCGACTCCTTAGATGCCTGGTTCCGTTTCCCCCCTCCCCGACTTGAAAAGGTGGCTCAGTCCTTCTGCACGCGACAGGCTGACGGTTGGGCCAAATACAGGAAGTTTCTGATTGGCTGAGGCGCAGAAGCACCGGGAGAAAAGAGCTCCCGGGCCCAGTCAGTGACGTACGGCAAAATGGCGCCCCCCACTTGGAGGACCATCGGGGTTAACCCCGCCCCCTACAGGTCAGGGGAGAATCCGCAGATACGTAGATTGCACTAGAGACGCTCGAGAGGCGGGTCTAAGGTCACTTCCGGCTACGGGGCGTGTGGGGGTGGGGGGTGGAGACTGGGTGCCGTGCAACAATATGGCTGCACCTATGTGTCTGTAGGCGGAAGCTCTGTTACTTCCGGTTCAAAGTAGCGCTCGCGGTGGGAGGGGAAAGGAAGGCGGAGAGAACCATGCGAGGTTCTGAGATCCGCGGTGAGGGTCGCCTCGAGAGACCGTTTCTGAGGTGGGGGCCGGACCGTGCGGGGAACGAAGGTGGGGCGGGAATGTCATGGGAAAGGTAGTGGGGAGTCCCGGACACTGAATCTGGGGGACAAGCTGTGGTGCCTTCCTATCTTAGAAGGGGAGTGGGGTGGCCGGGTGCTAAACTGGGGGAGGGGGATTTGGCGGGAAGCTCTGATCACTAGATCCATTAGGAAGGGTTGGGAATCTGAGAGAAATCGGGAGAGCCCAGTGCGGGGCTCACAATCAGTACAGGTCATCGAGAGAGAATGGGGAAAATCAGGGTGGGGTGAACGGGAGGGGACTTGGAGTGAAATGTCTCCAGTCTAATGCCCCGGTTTGAGAAGACCCATCAGAAGGTGGAACATGGAGATATTTGAGGGGAATAGAGAATGGGTTGTTGAGAGGAGACTTCTTTTAGCCTCAGCTTAGGAGTTGGAGTGATCCTTTAGAATGGGGTAAGGGTGTGGATTTGACGTTTGAGAGTGAAACGGGGGAAACACGTGAGTTGGTGCCTACGGCGGTGTACTATCTGTGAGGAGATGTCAAAGAATTCTGGAGTGCAATGTGGGAAATGATCCAGATGTTGGAAGACTCCACTCGCCAACTAGCCGAAGACCGGATATTGACGTGAGGGGTGGAGCCGGGGGTGGAGACTTAAGATTTTTGAGGCACTGTAGTAAAGGGCTTGAAAACATATGGTACTCATGGTTGATGGTGACAGGCAGTGGGGACATTGTTGGGTAGAACTGGGTATTACTGAAACCCAAGGAGGTTGAAAACATGTGAGCTGAAGGGATGGGGCGATGCTGGAGGGGCGTTTTCTGAGGCCCCACCCCCTTCCAGCAGGATTTCTGAAATCCCCAACACTTCTTCCCTCTGGGGGATTTGATCCCCCATGGCCACCGCTAACAGCATCATTGTGCTGGATGATGATGATGAAGATGAAGCTGCTGCTCAGCCAGGGCCCTCCCACTCACCCCCCAATCCAGCCTCACCCCCGGCAGAAGCCCCTGGCTCCTCCCAGCCCCCTGGGCCTGGAGGAAGCAGTAGTTCTGGCGGCAAGAAATGCTACAAGTTGGAGAATGACAAGCTGTTTGAAGAGGTGAGCTTTAGGGGAGAAGACTCTTGACACTGTAGGGAGGGGGATGGCTGACAGGCTCTCCTGTCCTTTCTTCCCCACTAACCCCACCTCACCTTCTTTCTCTCAACCCCTTCCCTTGTCTGTTTCCCGTCCCTTCTTCCACTGACCCCTCCAGTTCCTTGAACTCTGTAAGACGCAGACGGCGGACCACCCTGAGGTGGTCCAATTCCTCTGTACCCGGCAGCATCGTGCCCACTCTCCGTTTTTGGCCTCAGCAGAATACTGCAACATCCTTTCTCGAGTCCTATCCCGGGCCCAGAGCCGACCAGCCAAACTCTATGTCTACATTAATGAGCTCTGCACTGTTCTTAAGGCCCATTCAGCCAAGAAAAAGCTGAACTTGGCACCAGCCGCCACCACCTCTAGTGAGCCCTCCAGTAAGGACCCTTGCACAGACCCCTCCTCGGACCCTGCAAATGCTGAGACCGCTGCCTCTGAGGCCTCAAGGACCCGTGGTTCCCGGCGGCAAATCCAGCGCTTGGAGCAGCTGCTGGCTCTCTATGTGGCAGAGATACGGCGGCTGCAGGAAAAGGAGTTGGATCTCTCAGAATTGGATGACCCAGACTCCACATACTTGCAGGAGGCCAGGTTGAAGCGGAAGTTGATCCGCCTCTTTGGACGGCTGTGTGAGCTGAAAGACTGCTCTTCACTGACAGGCCGGGTTATAGAGCAGCGTATCCCCTACCGTGGCACTCGCTACCCAGAGGTTAACAGGCGCATTGAGCGCCTCATCAATAAGCCAGGGCCTGATACCTTCCCTGACTATGGAGATGTGTTGCGGGCTGTAGAGAAGGCAGCTACACGGCATAGCCTTGGCCTCCCCCGACAGCAGCTCCAGCTCATGGCTCAGGATGCCTTTCGAGATGTGGGCATCAGGTTACAGGAGCGACGCCACCTTGATCTCATCTACAACTTTGGCTGTCACCTCACAGATGACTATAGGCCAGGTAGGGATTAATGGGATGGCCATCAATAAATAACTCGTATGTCAGGTGTGTGGTAGAGGAGAATATCCCTAATCCCTTTTCTTAGGGTTTGAGCTGAATGTTCTGACTTTGTATCTTTCCATCTAGGCATTGACCCTGCACTGTCAGATCCTGCCCTAGCCCGGCGCCTGCGGGAAAACCGAAGCTTGGCTATGAGCCGGCTGGATGAGGTCATCTCCAAATATGCAATGATGCAAGACAAAAGTGAAGAGGGTGAAAGACAGAAGAGAAGAGCCCGGCTCCCTCAAGCCACCTCTTCTCACTCTGCAGACTCTCCCAAAGCATCCTTGGATTCCGGTGAGGTATGGAGGCCACATGCCCTTCAGAGTGGCCTTATCCTTCCCCAGCACTGGCTACCAGGGAGTCCAGAGTCACTAATGGGGGAGTGTGCAGAAGGAGTGTGTACAAGAACCAGACTCTCCTGGGTGAGAGATTCCTTAGAGAAACTCCTTTGTAACCCCAGGGCCCTAGTGGAATGGTACCCCAGGAGTGTCCTGTCACCTCCAAGACTGAGACAGATGATGAAGATGAGGAAAGTGAGGAGGAGGAGGAAGAGGAAGAGGAGGACTCCACAGATTCTGAGGAAGAGGAGGATCTGGAACAGATCCAGGAAGGTCAGGGGGATGATGAAGAGGAGGAGGAGGAAGCAGGTATGTCTCATGTGTCAGTTCCCTCCACGCTGTTGGGCATGAGTCACCTGTTTGAGATCCTTCCCCTCCTCTTACTCTTTGTGTCTTCTCAGGAGTATTCTTTCCCCAAGTTCTCATGCTACCCCACCTCTAATTTCTTCTTTTCCAGATAAGGATGGAGATAAGAGCCCCATGTCCCCACCACAAATTTTTACTGAGAACCTGGAACCTAGCAAAGGAATCAGCAGGTCCTCAGAAGAACAGCAAAACAAAGGACTCAAAATGTCGCCATCTTCACTGTCAGCAGGACCCTTGGCCCCCTCTAGCATAGACGCTGAAAGCAATGGAGAACACCTTGAGGAGTTGCGCCTGGCAGAAGAGAGCCCCATATCCCAGCTCTTTGAGTTGGAAATTGAAGCCTTGCCCCTAGATGCCACCCCTTCCCCTGAGGAGAGGGACACTTCCTCTTCCAGGAAGCAATCAGAAGACACCCTCACCACTGTCTTGGAGAATGGAGGAGCAGCCATGGTCTCCTCCACTTCCTTCAATGGCGGTGTCTCTCCTCATGCGGGGGGAGATTCCAGTCCCCCCTGCAAGAAATCTCGGAAGGAAAAGAGGCAACCAGAAACAGGACCATTAGGAAACAGGTAACAAGGGGAGGAAGAGGGAAGTAGTGGGATTGCAACAGGCTTTCGAGAGGAGTATTGGGAGAGACTGGACACTCCCCCTCCAGCTTTAAGCTCTTCATATCCCTCCAGACACTTATGTTTCTGTCCCTAGCTATGAGGAGAGGGAAAGGCCAGTGCTTGAGAAGAATGGGAAGAAGATGTGTACTCTGCCCAGCCCTCCTTCTCCTTTGGTCACTGTGACCCCGGTTGCCGATTCCTCCACAAGGGTGGATTCTCCTAGTCATGGCCTGGTGACCAGCTCCCTCTGTAGCACATCTCCAGCTGGGCTGTCCCAACCCCCTCTGCCACAACCCTTGGGGCCTGGTACTTACAAGGTAAGGGGGCGGGGGTGTTTTTCCTCACTTCACTCTTTGTCCGTTCAGTTTCAGGCCCTTCTGTCCGAATATTGCACCCACCACATCCTCTCCTTTTTTTCCCACCCCAGTTTTTAATCTGATCAATCAGTCCTTGCCGCTGTCTCTCCCCCCCTGTATTTCAGACCTCTCTGTCTCTCTCCCCTACAGACGAGTGTGGCCACACAGTGTGATCCAGAGGAGATCATCGTGCTCTCAGACTCTGATTAGCTGCCTCCCCCAACCCCTGCCTCCCAAATGTTTTGGTGTTGTATTGGAGGATGGTGGAAAGCAGATGACAGAGGAAGGAATGGACTGAGCTGATCCCCCTTTGGTGGTGTTTCTTAAAAATACGAACAGCAAAAGTTGAAGTTTTACACAAAAACATTAATAAAGTTTTTTTCTTATTGTATGCATGTCTTTCCTCGTTCTCCCTCTTAAGCGCTCACCCACTGTTCTGCACTCAGCGTTAGCCCAGCCCCCAGTTGCCCTGGATCTGGCCTTTCCAGCCCACCCTTTGCACTCCTCCTGCAGGTTCCTCGGACCCGCAGGCCTTGCCTTTTACCCTCTGCCCGACGTTAAAAAACATTTTGAGCTTTCGTCTCCCGAAAGCTCTTTGCTTTCTCACTTGGAGCGGTACGAGTGAAAAGCCCAATCGCGGCTGCCTCAAGGTTATTTGGCCAATCCTGGCTGGAGGGAGGGGGCGGGGCTTCGGGAGGACAGTCATAAACTGGAAGAGACAGGCGGTTAGGTGCAGTAAAAGCGCTAATGGCCAAAGCTTGGGGGCGGAGTCTAGGTAGCGACGGCCGAAACCCGACACCTACGGGAAGAGGCAGGCTTACAGAATTAAAGGGGAAGGAGCGTTTCGGCCAAACCTAGCCCTCAGTCCTTTGCTCCAGAAGGGACGTGGTATCTTTAAGGTGGAATGAGACTCCTGTTCGCTTTAAAGGAGAAGTGGAAGAGTCGGCCGAGTATTGCCCAGCAGCACGGGCGGGGTACCCGCCTGTACCTTTAAAGCCGGAGGGGCGGGAGGCGGAGCGGAGGCGGAAGGCGGAGGGAGTCGGCGCAAGATGGCGGCGGGAGGGGCCCAGGCTGCGGCTCTGGCGGCCGAGTGAGGGGCGGGGGGGCCCGGGGGCGCGCGGCCCGGTAAGCGGGGACGCGCGGGGTTGCGGAGCGCCTTCCGGGTGGGAGAGGAGGTCGAAGTAGCGCCTGGGGCGGAGCGGAGGGGGCGGGGTCGGTGTGGGCGGGGGTAGACAAGAGGCGGAGCCGACGGGGCTATGGGGGCGGGCCCCGAAGGGGCGGGGCCGAAGGACAGGGGCGGGTCTTGGAGGGGGCGTGGTTAGTGTGCGCGTGGGGTGAAGGGGGCGTGGCCGGCGAAAGAACTGGGGTGTATTGCTTATAAGGAAACAGGAAGATGGTTTTCAGCAAGAGGGAGACCTATCCCCTTCCAAGAAAAGGGTAGAGAACACCAAAAAAGCACCCCACTCTCGAAGGACTTCTTATTTCTCTAACTTCTAAGGAAAGAACTTTAGGTTTGGAGTCAGGACAACTGCGTTTGATGGTGCAGCCACTTACTGGCTGTGTGACCTTGTATAATCTCTTAATTTTTCTGAGCCTCAGTTCATCCATCAAACGAGATCAAGAGGATTATCTATATCTATATCACAGTGGTGTTGGGAAGAGTTACTCAGATGATGGGTGTGAACATGTTTTTAAATTGTAAAGGGCTGTATCTTTATGAAATGTTATCATTCTTCTCTCTCTTTTTCCCCTAGAGACCCCCCCGGCCGCCCTCCTTCTTTCCTTGTTCCTGTGGCTGGGGGGGTTATCCCCTCCCTCCACACCATGGAGCCATCTCCTCTGTCTCCCAGCGGGGCAGCACTCCCCCTGCCTCTGTCACTGGCTCCACCCCCACTGCCCCTGCCTGCAGCTGCAGTGGTACATGTGTCCTTCCCTGAGGTAACCAGCGCCCTCCTGGAGTCCCTCAATCAGCAGCGGCTGCAGGGCCAGCTCTGTGACGTGTCCATCCGAGTACAGGGCCGAGAATTCAGGGCTCACCGTGCTGTCCTGGCTGCCTCCTCCCCTTACTTCCACGACCAGGTCCTACTCAAGGGCATGACCTCCATCTCGCTGCCCAGCGTCATGGACCCAGGGGCCTTCGAGACTGTTCTGGCTTCAGCTTACACTGGCCGCCTCAGCATGGCCGCTGCTGACATTGTCAACTTCCTCACTGTGGGGTCTGTGCTGCAAATGTGGCACATTGTGGATAAGTGTACTGAACTCCTCCGAGAAGGCCGGGCCTCAGCTACCACCACCACCATCACCACTGCTGCGGCCACCTCAGTCACTGTCCCTGGTGCTGGGGTGCCATCCGGGAGTGGGGGCACTGTGGCCTCTGCCACCATGGGCTCTGTGCGCTCCCATGCCTCCAGTCGGGCCAGTGAGAATCAGTCCCCTAGCAGCAGCAACTACTTCAGTCCCCGGGAGTCTGCTGATTTCTCATCTTCCTCCCAGGAAGCATTTACAGCTTCTACAGTGGGTAGTGTGGAGCGTCGTGGAGGTGGGCCTGTATTCCCAGCCCCTGTGGTTGGGAGTGGGGGGGCTACTTCTGGAAAGCTGCTGCTGGAGGCAGATGAGCTATGTGACGATGGGGGAGATGGGAGAGGTGCTGTGGTCCCCGGGGCTGGGCTGCGGCGAGCCACCTATGCACCCCCTAGCATCATGCCTCAGAAACGCTGGGTATATGTGAAGCGGGGTGGAAACTGTCCAGCACCGACACCCCTGGTTCCCCAAGACCCAGATCTGGAAGAGGATGAGGAGGAGGAAGACCTAGTGTTGACCTGTGAGGATGATGAAGATGAAGAGCTAGGGGGCGGATCCAGGGTTCCAGCAGGGGGTGGACCTGAAGCTACCCTTAGCATAAGTGATGTCCGGACCCTGACAGAGCCTCCAGAGAAGGGAGAGGAGCAGGTCAATTTCTGTGAGTCTTCTAATGACTTTGGCCCCTATGAGGGTGGGGGTCCCGGGGCAGGGCTTGATGATTCAGGGGGGCCAACTCCCTCTTCCTATGCTTCCTCCCACCCTCCTCGGCCCCTGCTTCCGCTGGACATGCAGGGCAACCAGATCCTAGTCTTCCCATCATCTTCATCCTCCTCCTCACAGGCTCCAGGCCAGCCACCAGGGATCCAAAGTGAACATGGGGCAGTGACCCTGGGGAACACATCCACAGGGGGTCTGGGTGTGCCCAGTGGCCCTGGTGGGACCCCTGGAGGAACAGGCAGTGGAGATGGGAATAAGATCTTCCTGTGCCACTGTGGGAAGGCCTTCTCCCACAAGAGCATGCGTGACAGGCATGTGAACATGCACCTCAACCTGCGGCCCTTTGACTGCCCAGTGTGCAACAAAAAGTTCAAGATGAAGCATCATCTGACTGAGCACATGAAGACTCACACAGGCCTCAAGCCCTACGAATGCAGTGTCTGCGCCAAGAAGTTCATGTGGAGAGACAGCTTCATGCGCCACAGGGGACATTGTGAACGCAGGCACCGCCTAGGTGGGGGTGGGGCTGGGGCCCCAACAGGACCCGGGGGCCCTACTGGACCAGCCTTGCCTCCCAAGAGAGAGTCCCCTGGGGTGGGTGGCGGAAGCAGCGATGAAGCCAGTGGAGTCACCACACCTTCCAGCCGCAGGGTCTGGTCCCCACCCAGCGTCCCCAAGGTGGAGATGGGTTTCAGTGGGGGTGGAGGAGCAAATTGATGGGTGGTAGCTTTCAGGGAAGAGGGATTAGGGAGAAAGAGCCAGGGGGCTTGGTCCCCAGATGACCCCCCACTACACTTACTGTCTTCCTTATCTCTTTGGACTTGTATATATTCTGGAGGGGGAATCACATTGCACCATGGGAAGCCCCATTCCACTCCATAGCCCTGTAGAGTATTCCCAGAACCAAGCCTTTCCTTCCCCTCAGATGGGAACACTGAAGCCCTAGCTCCAGAGTAGGGCACAAATGGGGGGGGCGGGAAGGGGAAAGGGGCCTGTTGAGCAGCCTGGAGCCACAAGGTCAAGGGTCAGGTGGTTGTAGTCTGTACCTGAAGTCTGTGTTGTATTGTTGTGGGAACCAGGCCTTTGAGTCACACCCTTGTCCTAGAATCTACCCTGTTCCCCCTCCCAAGGATGTGCCCTTTATTTCTACCCTATCCTTCCTCCTACCCTCCTTTGGTGCCCCCCCCCACTCCATCATCACCACCACCACCACACACACACTCAATTCTCACTGAGGAGGGGTTGGAGAGAAGGAGAAAGTCGTAGGAGTACAAAGTTTTTATTTTAAATTTTATTTTTTTTAAACGGTGATTAAAATATTTATTGGTCATTTCACTTGACTTATTTACAGCCCCTCTGTGTTTGCTGGGAACCCACACAGGTGGGGGAAGGTGGAGTAAAGTTCAAGGGGGTGTGGGTGATAGGGGGAGCATAAGGTCGGGAGGTCTCTGGGATTCAGGTGGGCGGTGTTGGGTGCTCCAGGAGGCCAGGGCTGAGATGCCCGGCCCGAAATGGAGAGGATGGTCCTGAATACCAGCCCCGCCAGTGGGGAAGCACCTGTCTCCCAGATGCCCTCCCCTCACCGAAGCGGGGACTTCCGCAGTACCTCCTGCTGGCCTTTGGAGGAAAGAGAAAGTGAAAGGGGAAGAGGAGGCTGCGGGACGAAGATCGCAGAAACATGAGGCCCCTATACCTGCTCCTCATAGTGGCTTTGGGTAAGCGGACCCCGCGACTTTCTGTCCAGGAACAGAGGGGATGCAGCGGGAGGCTTCCCCGCCGCGCACGCGACACGAGCGGCGGCGGGGTGGGGTGAGCTCTCCCGAAACCTGGGCCTCCCGCTCACTCGCACCCCTCTCCCCAGGCTTGGCGGGTGAGGTCTCTGCAGGGCGCGCGGTCATTGAGTGCTGGTTCGTGGAGGATGTGGGCGGTGGCCGCCTGGCCAAGAGACCCGCGGCCCTGCTGCTGCACCAGGGCCCCGGGACACCACCTCCTCGGCCCGACCTCGACCCCAAGCTCTACATCAAGGTGCACGGTGAGTCTTTCCGGGGTCTCCATCCACCTCTGTAGCCTCCGCCGAAATCCCGTCTTCTTTTAGGTCATTCAGTGACCTGTGGCCTCAGTTTCTCCCTCGGTAAAATGAGTCTGGATTACACGTTGGACCTCTCCCTACTTACCGGGCGGTCTGTGCCTTTGAAATTCCCTGGACGCCGCCCTCCCACCCCTCTCCTGGTGGTGACTACAGCTGCAGCTCCCTTTTCCATACTTAACAGACCCCACCAGCACCCTCCAGGCTGCTTTCAAAAGGTACTCCCGGGACGCCCCGGCGCCACACTGCGAGATGAGCCGTTACATCCTGCTCCCCGCCTCGGCCAAGTGGGCCAGCGGCCTGACCCCTGAGAGCTGCCCGAACGCCCTGGACGGTACTTGGTACATGGTCAGCGTGACCAGCTCGGTGCTCAGCCTGTCCAGCCTCCTGCAGTTACAGCCCGAACCTCAGCCTGAGCCCGTTCTCATCACCATGGCGACAGGTAGCTGGGCCCGGAGTGGGGCGGAACGGGAAGATTGTGAGGGTCGCGATGTGTGGACGTGAGAGAGTCATTTCCCTTGTCGGGGTTCGAATTCCTTATTTGTCAAGCTAGGCGGTTCGGCTCATTAAACGGTCTGTGGCTTCTAGCCCCGGCCTGGTAAAATAAACCCGGAGATGTGGGGCGGGGTTTTGGAGAGAGACGGGTTGTGGGCGCCCGCTCCTGGAAAAACTTGTCTGGAGACGAGGTTGGGGGGCGCTCAGAGGCGGGAACTTCTTTCCAGCGCGTTCCCTTCGGCGCGAGGTGTCACGATCCCTGTGGCACTCAAGCCGTGGGTCAAGTAGGAGGGAAGGTGGCCTCGAGAGACCCCAGCTTCCCACTGCAGGGGCTGACTGCATGCCGTGCGGCCCCGTGTGCACGGGCGACAGGCTGGGGTGCAGGGAGGGAGTGGGCAAACAGAGCAGGAATGGGGGGACGTAGGAGCAGCCTAGGCCGGGTAGGATATGGGTAGAGTCCTCAACTTCCTTCAGGCCTGTGGGGTTTTATGTAAATAACACGGCCAGACCAGCAGGTCTACGCCAACAGAGCCCTTGCACCCCGCTTCTCTTTCACCTCCGTACTGAGAGAATCACCCACAGGACCACCCACGGACCCAGCAGTCACACCTCAACCTCCACTTCCACCTGCGTCTCCATTCTTGGCTCCGGGGCCCGATCTGGGCGGCGCCGAGGCATTTTGCTCCTGGTGGGGGCTGTAGCGCCCCCCGGCGGTAGGAGTACTACCCTGTAGAGCTCCTGGCTTCCGTACCTGGTGGTGGGACCGTCCCTTCTGGGCCCATCTGAAATTTTCAAACTGTAGAATGTGAATGCTATTTCCCATCTGTCTCTCTGTTGTGTCTTGATCGTTGTGACTATCAAGGGAGGCGCTTTGTTAATTTATTCATTGATGCAGTAAATATTTCTTAGCACCAAGGATAAATTGGGGCCCAGTTCTCAGTCCAGGCTACAAATAACTCCTCTTGGAAGTTTCTAAATATACTGAAACCTGGGTCCCATTCCAGGGGAATTAAAATCAGAACCTCTTGGGTGGCCTCCTCCCTATCCCGCTACAAATTAGGGGTCACAAATGTCATTATATGCCTATTCTGCCCTGTAAAATGTTCTCAGCTGATTTGTGGTAGATCTTATTTTATTTATTTATTTATGTATGTATGTATACAAGAGCTAGGATGTAGGCCAGAGGTTGGGGGTGGGAGTAGCGTGAGAAGACACACCAGCTATTGTTAAGGTAGCCGGAAAGCACCCTGCCAGATCAGGAAAGTAGCTCAGTTAGGGATCCATGCAATGGCCTAGAGGGAGGATTATCTGCATCTCATAGACCACCAAAGATAAAAACTAACTCCTGTGCTAGTCATCATGTTCAAGCATTTCTGCTTGTTAGGGACTTAAGAAAATCAAATTTGTTTTAAAGTAAAATTTTAAAATGGAATATTTTGGTAATATACATCTATATACTATTTTAAAAAACAACTAGTCCAGACCTATCATGCTGTGAATTCAGAGGGAATGGCTCCAGCAGCTCAGCACCATGGGTTCCCACAGAATGTGCTTCTCTGGGTAGAGCAGGCAGGTGCTTCAGCAGACTTCAAGAGCCTTTCTCTTTGGCTTCCCTTTTTTCCTAATCATTTTCCTTCATACTTTCAGGGTGCTGTCTTGGCTCTTTGAGTGCTTGATATGCTCAATGGAATATTCTCTTGGCAAGAATCTGGCCCTTGTTTGTTTACAATAATGCCAACTCCATGCTGGTGCAGGGAGTAGGAGGATTCCCCAGAGACAGAGTGGGGAGCAGAAAAGGCAGATTGACAAGTACACCGCTGAGGGGAGCAG